AAAGAAAGGATTGGTCCTTGAGAAATTCCTCTTCCTCTTCCTTCTTCCTACTCCTGACTCCAGAGAGACCCACTAGTACACTCTGCCCTGAAGTGGCACTGTGTCTGGACTCCCTTTCTACTAACTTATTGTGTGATAGAAGAAACAATGGGAGAGTCATGTGTTGCCTGTGAACCAACAATGATTCTGTGAATTTAAAAGCCTCCGTGCCTTTTTGGATTTCCTCACTACTTGTTCTGATTGTGAACTGATGATGCTACATTGTGCAGAGAAATAGTGGGTCTCTCTGTGGCTTTTCCCTCTTCTTTCCTTTGTCTTCCCTTCACAAGACACGCATTTCCCCCTTATTCTGTGCTGCATCAAACTCCTTTTCCCCTTTTCATGCACATTGTTTCTGCCCTTCTTACTCTCCTGTTATGAGAGTCTAGCTCACACAGAGCCCACTATTTGTCTCCGTCTCTCCTCGGAGTTGTGTCTTACTCAGCCATGATGTTTAGGTTTGACTGACACTTCATGTGTCCTCACCGTCAAGCTTGTTGATATCTAAAAAGAATAATGCATGCTCCAAATTGGGGCCCAGCCCTCCTGCAGTTGTTTCAACAATAAGGATTGAAGTATATCTTCAGAGAAATGTGTTCAGGAAGGAAAAAAGTAGTAAATATGTTCAACAAAAACTTGAGGGAACAGTATTTAAACTATTTCAATCTCTACAGATGTTTGATGTGGCATATTATTTTGATTTCCACTTTTCCTTTGTGGGCTTTTGGTTTTGTGCCTTTGAAAACCTTTAGTTTAACTTAATTTAGACACGAAATGGTATAAGCAGCACGGTACATCCTGTCTGTTACATTTAAAAGCCATACCTGGGTTATCAATAACTGTTTTTGAAGTGAGATGAAGCAAGTCTTCCCCATATGACGCACTGTTTTAACACTATTGACAGACATTTTCCTCGAGGGCTGATATACAAACTGCTGCTGCATCTTATATTAACTGAAAGCTGTATTTGCTGCTCCTCTGATTTTTTTCTGATAACAAAAGCTCTTCTTATTAATAATTGTGTACATCCTTCTCTCCTCCTCTCCTTGTCTGAGACCTGAAATGTAGATGGAGGCAGAGAATAGACTAGATGGAAACAAGTTGAAAGAAAGGATTGGTCCTTGTAGAGGGCGCACCGAGAGACATTTCTTGTTTACAGGCAGGAAGAGAGAGGAGCTAAGGAGTCACAAAATATTGAGAAATGAGAAGAGCTCCTGCTAACAGTGTTCACCACAATGAAAATGACCTACAGAGGTTACCTGGCTCAGTTTAATGCTCCTAGACTTTTGAAATGGGTTGAACCATACTGACAAAAGGCCGTATCAAGAGCTCAGTCAAAGCAACCACTAGCAAAACTGATCTTGCACGACCATTTGTCGTGCAAGATGGTTTCAGTATTTTCAAGATGTGTACTAGTATATTTTCTGGTTCTAAAATAAAGTATACATATTAAAATGGTTTTAGCAGATTTTTTTGTTATTGTCAAAAGGTGTGTGTGTGTGTGTGTGTGTGTGTGTGTGTGTGTGTGTGTGTGTGTGGCCTAGCATTACTATACTTGTGGGGACCTACATTTGTTTACACAGTCACGTGTGGGGACTCGCCTCCCTTATGGGGACAAAATGGAGGTCCCCATAAGGGGAATCATTAATTTTAGGGTGAAGACTTGATTAGGTTTAGGGTACGGTTAAGGGTTAGGCATGTGTTGGTTATGGTTAAGGATAGGATAAGTCTCCAGGAAATGCATGTAAGTCAATGTAATGTCCTCTGAAGTGATGTGTGTGTGTGTGTGTGTGCACACACAAGATTAAGATGGGCAGATATACAGTGAACAACTAACCTTTAAATGTTTTAGTGACCTGTACTGTATGCACGGTTAAACATCCATGTGTGTTTCTTACTGAGGTAATGTTTGGTATCTGATCTGGACGTGTTCTACAAATAGTCTCAATTGACTGAAGTCTATGAAAGTTGGAAAAAACCCAAGCTTTTTGTGCTCCAAACATGCGTCACAGGGTGAGAAACAAAGAGAGGATTCCTCTTGCTGTTTTGGTACAAACAGATTTGGTCTTGGAGAGGTTTAAGTCTGGTTTTGGGAAAGACAAGACAAGAGCACAGACACACAGTAGAGACAGAGTACTGGCGGACAAACACAGCATTAGACATATAATTATTTTAAATACCTGGAGAGACAGTCAGCACAATGACTCTACAGAGCAGCTTTCACTTTTTAAACCTTTGGGAGGAGACAGACAAAGGAGAGGAAGGAGAAAGCCCAGTGAGGGAGCAAAAGTCAGAGAGCATGGGACCCTCACAATGGGTTCATGGGACCCTTGTATCAGGTACGTATTTACTGGTTTTGGCGTGTCCCATTTGCCTTTTCATCCCTTTTTTCCCCCTTTCTGTCCCGTCTTTCTGAAAGCTTCAGTGTGCGCGCATAAACTTGAGAGCAGACGACTTAAAGAGAGCAGCATCGTGTTTAAGCTAAATTAGCTCCACTGCACCTTGATGTGGAGCTAACGTGATAAATGTGGAAGTGAAACTGCCTCACTCCTTCACATGGTGGTCAAGTCCTTTCTTAGTGAACTTTTGGGAGTCAGTCTTTTAGAATTATTATAGAAACCCTTTACCACCAAATTCAGAGAAATCCTTTGACTGTCTTTTGTGGCATTATGGAACCCATACAGGTATTTCAAAGTATCTATTCATGTTTTGATTTAATGTCTCTCTGTTACTATTAAGGTATATTATAGATAGTGTCTCTGTATTTTCTATAGTTTTAACTTTATGTTTAATTTCAATGTAATCAATCAATCAATTAAATACATTTTGAAAGTGATAAAAGCAGCATATTTTGTTGTTGTTGTCCAAACGTCCAGCAGGAGGCAGTGAAAGCATTGCTAAAGTGCTGCTGAGGTTTGAGTAGTGTCTTGGTTTCTGTTACACTGGCTGAATGTTGTGTGTTTCTGTGCTGCAGGGTGTGCGGACCTGAACAGCCTCGACACTCTGAGCTCACAGGAGAAGAAGAGACAGGGTTACATCCATGAGCTGATCCAGACCGAGGAGAGATACGTGGAAGACTTGCAGATAGTGATGGAGGTAATGGACACATGTCCTTCATAAAGAGAGAGTTTCACCCCAAAGTCCAAAATACATATTTCCCGTCTCACCTGTAATGGAACGTATCAATCTAGACCAGGGGTGTCAGATTCAAATACACAGTGGGCCAAAATAAGAATAAATGGTACTAGTCGAGGGCCGGACTGGTTGAATGTTTATTTCAAAACGCATTGAAATTAACTTATTATTTATATATATATATATATATATATTAAACCTGGAACTAACAAAGCTTAAATTATTGCCTATAAAAACAACATTAAACATTAAATAATCAGTTCNCTAGTACACTCTGCTCTGAAGTGGCACTGTGTCTGGACTCCCTTTCTACCATGACTCTCCCACTGTTTCCTCTATCACACAGCCATTAGTTCAATAAGTTGGTAGAAAGGGAGTCCAGACACAGTGCCACTTCAGAGCAGAGTGTACTAGTGGGTCTCTCTGGAGTCAGGAGTAGGAAGAAGGAAGAGGAAGAGGAATTTCTACCGCCCTAGAAGGAGAAAGAGACAGAAGCCGAGAGAAAAGGGAAGGAGAAACGCAGAGTGGGAAGGGAGTGAGGGAGGTGGGGAAATAGGAAGAAAGGTGAAATAGTCAGTGAGAATAAAGGGTATACAGATGAAGAGATGGATGGATGGAGATTCAGTAATGGTTGATGGGGGTTGCAAAGATGAACAAATTATATGTTTTTGTTAGTCATAGGTCCAATCCCGATCTCCACACACAGAGAAGTTGAGTCGCGTTTCTCTTAAAGGTCCCCTATTACTGTCCCTTGGTTGGTGATTGGCTAATGGTTAAACAAGCCAAAACATCGTTATGACATCATAAAGTGGCCAAAATCTGATCAGCTCATTTTCAGACAGGTTTTTATATAAATGGATCAGGACAAAAAGAGAGAGAATCTTTTTTCCTGAAACTTTCAGAATCTCTTTCCACAGAGGGGACACATGTTGATGTAGAAAAGACATGAACAAGTGGATTTTGCATAATAGGTGACCTTTAACACTTGTTGGATCGGGGTTACCTCACTGGGAAACCCTCGAGTGCATTGGGGCTCTGATACATCCTTTTTAACACTATTATTTTAACGCTGCATATCTGCAGACTTTCATTAGGGACGTGCCTTTAGTTCATTAGTGCAAAGAGCCTGTGAAGATCTGGCATTTATGTTCCTCATTCACCCTAGGACTAAAGCTGCGTACAGAAGCAAAGTCATGAAGCCTGAGGAGGTCTAGTGTTCAGGCTTGAGACTGGGATTGGGCCATAGTGAATTGAAGCAAAAAGGGAGAAGAGCATCTCCGTATTTTGCATATTTTTTCATCATATCATATTTAATGGATCTACTTACACGTTGAGCTGGGGTCACATTCTGTTGTGGTCATCTTAACGTAATTGATGGGGAACAGACCACTGACGCCGTTGATCTCTCCCCTCCACCAATCAGGGTTGTTCTTGTCAAACACGTTGATCAGCTGACCTTTAGAGAAGCTCATCTCATCCCCGTTGGCGGCTATGTAGTCGTATATGGCGATCACCTGACACACTGAGAAAGAAAAAGAGTTACACCATTATATTATTTATATTTCTAGTGTATTTTATCACTGGTCTTCATCTGACATGTATTTAGTGTGTGTGTGTGTGTGTGTGTGTGTGTGTGTGTGTGTGTGTGTGTGTGTGTGTGTGTGTGTGTGTGTGTGTGTGTGTGTGTGTGTGTGTGTGTGTGTGTATGTGTGTGTGTGTGTGTGTGTGTG